CAGGCCTGCAGCATGAGCTACATCCTGACCCTCCCACCTTATGGACACAGGGTCCCTGGATTTGAGATTTGAGTCTCTGGGTTCAGTACTGCCTTGAACTTTTCTCTTTCATGAGACAATTCTTTTCATTTATTAGGGTGCAGAGCAATTTGAGTTGGGTGGGCAGCATGCTTAACTTCGAGGCTGGACTTAGAAAAGTATGGAGGACCTTGACTGCCCGAGGAAGGGAAAGGTCAAGGATGAAAAGAAGCCGCTATCAATTGCCTAAGCAGGCATCGTGCTAGATGTACGTCTCGTTTAATTATTATCACACCCTGAGGGATGAGGAGTTTTCTCATTGTAGAACAGGAAAATGAGGTTATAACGGGTTCAGTCCATTGATTCATTCAACGCAGATTTTACTCTGCATTGTATAGTACTGTGATAAGTACTGAGAGTTCAGAGATAACAGCAGTAGTAATAACAGCAGGCAACACTTAGTGAGGGTCTGCTGTGTGCCAGGCATGGTTCTATGCTTTTGACACACACAGCCTCATTTCATTCACGGGCAGCCATGTGAAGTTAAGCAGAGTGTCATCTCTGCTTTATGGACGACATCAAGCAGTGTGGTCTAGGGTGCAGGGCTGGCACACGGAGGAGATAGGGCAGATTTAGGGGTCACCCCAACACGATCCCACTCCACCAACTTTGCCTTCCAAAGCTTAGAGCTGCTTGCTGTCAGCTCCCACAGCAGCGATCCAAACCCGAGTGCTGGTGATGCTGCCCAAGCCTTTGCTGGGTGTCCTGCTAGCCCAGACACTTGACTTGTGTATGTATCTTCTTTTGAACCACCAACAGCCCTTACCTACATCATTCTGGTAACGGCTCCCCTTCAGATTGGGGACAGTCTCCATCCCCTGTGTGTCTGTTGGAGCTACTCATCACCCTGGCCAGAGGCCAGGTCCCCTGGGCTGTGGTACTGGGTTCATGGGGTGGAAATGCCACTCCAAGATCAGTCAGACTTCTGGGAGAAGAGCCTGGGCTGGGAGAGAGGAGCTTACTTCTTACGGACAGCAGTTGATATAAGCAAGAACCTTGCTGTGATCAGCCTCACTCTCTCCTCTCACATGCTCTAAAGCCATATAGAAGTTGCTTTTTTTTTGCATTGGAAGTGAGCCTAACATCCTAGGAAAAGTTGGGTTAAGAAATGGACACAGAGAGATAAAAAATATTGCCGAGTTCTTGCATCCACACCATGCTTAAGATCAACTCCATTTCAGGAATTTCCAGTTTCTAGAGTTACTACATACATGTTTTCCTTAAATTGACTTCACTTTCCTTTCTATTGCTTGCAACCAAAAGAGTTCTTGGCTATGACTTGTTTCCTTATTCACAGGCTCTATTACCTACTGCTTCATTTTTGTTTTGTCTTGGTTTTTTTCCTTTGATTACTTTCCACTTTTGTAAGTGGTAGATATTAAGTCTGACTACAGGATACTGACTACAGAGTTAACAATAAATGATATAAAAACACTAGAAAAACTTAGTTGGCCAATCAGAAAGGACTGTTCACACGTATAGCCTACTATCGCTAGGTCTGAAGAATGTGTGGGTTAAAAGTGAAATCAACAATGTCACTGCCCTGAGCAGAGGCTCAACCCTGCCCAGAGTTCGAACTGCCAGGGAGTCAGGCCCAGGAGGCATCTGGATATGTGGAAGACGGGCCTGCTCGTATGTTTCTCTTCAAGATAGTTACCACCCCTCCCCTTTCTGGGATGACTCCTGGTGCCTGCTGTGTCTAAGGTGGGTGAGATCTTTGGGACTAGGGAAACAGGTGGGGATCAGCCTGCAAGGGTGTCAGCACCATTTTTCCTTCTTTGTTCTACAAGCTCCTTCATGTCCTATCTTCCGCTAATACACCCATGGCCCAGGCCTGGCTGGTCTGAACTCTTTCTCCCCTTAACCACAACAGCCAGATGAGAAGAGATTGAGGCATTCGGGAATTTCACTCCAAATTATGATATCCAGGATGTGGATTATATTAGATAAAGGCCACTGGAGACCAACAGATGCTCAGAGGGGTTTGACTCTGCTGTTTCCCTGACTGTCTAAAGACCAGAGCAGCCAAAAAGGAAAGCAATTGCTCTCAGGCCTTTCCCAGAGGTTTCATTAACTAAACTCAAATGGCAGAAAAGAGAGCTCAAGAGTGTCACCGCAGCTGGACAGACTTTATCACAAGTTATTATTCCTCTCTGGGTCCGTTCATTCTTCCAGAGAAACTCATTGAACTACAGTCTGTCCTCTCAGCCCATTCATTCTCCCTAGTAATCATTTACTACCTCTCAAAAAGAAATGCCCACATTTCCCACTTTCCCCTGCCTTGCAGAGAAAGGTGTAGGGGCATCTAAACCCCCTGGGTTCATGGATTCTCACCTCCCTGCGATTTCTGCCCCCTCTATGTTAAATACATCTGCACAGGTTTTTCCTACTCATCTGCCTGTTGTCAGTTCATTCCAGAGGATGAAGGGGAAGTTCCCTTTGCCCTCACCGTGAGGAATCAGGGCCCTTCCCCGGGATTGCTCCCTGGGGCATGGGGAGAAAAGCCCACTCTTTCTTTTCTGCGATGGTTTCCAAGCTGGAGTGTAGGGACTAACCCCATAGCAAGAAAGCCCAGGAGCTGTTGGATGACTTGTGTTTCACTGTGTGGACAGAGGCACGGAGAAGGCTGCAGGGGAGAGAGAGCAGAGCAGGTACACAGAGAGGACAAGGAAGAGGCAGTTGTGACAGCCCCCCCATGTAGTTCCAGTCCTAGGTGCTGTCTCAGATTTTGTTGCATCCTTGACCTTGGACCCCTGGAATGTCACAGTCATTCCACATTTTTATTGATTTGTCTCCTCAATTGGTCCTTTCTTCTTTTGCAAGCCAAAAGGTACACATGACTATGTGCACTGTTCTTTCTTTGTCAGGGACCCATGCAAGAAACTACTTTCTTTGTTTTAGTCACTGAAAAGTAACTGTCTTGAGCAAACCGACACAGGCAAACCAACCTCTGGGTCTATAGCCCCAGCCCAGCTCTAGGTAGATCAAGGTTATCAGATATGATGGGCATGGTAAAGCTAGTATCCAAACCTAGGTCTCTCTGTGTAGAAAATATTTAACCACTTTTCCCATGTTAGCACAGCAGCCAAATTTTCAGAGCCTTCTCTCAAGAAAGCCACCTGTGAATCACTTTCCCCCAGCAGCTCTGTGGTTGGCCAGGCAGGAGGGTGGGTGTCTTGTTCCCTGCAGCAGACCCTTATAGCTAGAGTGTCACCAGGCAGGCACATCTAAGCCCTGAGGCCTCTCCAGGACAAAGATAAATGAAGACCCGGGTGATGAGCCTGCCCAGAGTGTGGAAGTGGACAGGGAACGGGTACAGACAGAGAGCAGGGCTCTTCCAGACAACAACTTCCCACCTGGGAGCCACTTTTGTGCCCAGGGGACCCAGGAGTTGTCATGCCAGTGTCCCAAAGGCTGCCCCCCAAACCTTTCCCAGGAGCAGTGGTCTCTGGGTAGTTTTCACCTATGGCCACATGAGTTCAAACCCGGGGATGGGAACTTGATTTCTGTTTGCTGACCTGAGTTTTCTGAGACCTGGATCTTGCTGGTGGGAAGTCTGTGGCCTTTGCTTCAGGGACTCTTCAGAGCAAGCAGCTCTGCTTGTAATTCAGTTCTCCTGGGCTAGATCAGCTCGGGGCCTGGGCCTCCACACCTCAGAGTAGACGTGAAATATTTTGCCCGTCCAAGGATAAACACAGCTTTTGAACTTCCACAAGAATCCTCATTCTTGTCCTTTTGTATCAAGGCATAGGTAGGCATTGAGAACCCTAACAACAAGGCATCATTCTCTTGCCAGTGCTGTCATTTGTCAATAGACTTGCTGTTCCCGCTGCTGCAGGTGCTGACCCTGGGTATGACCAACTGTCCTCTCCTCCCATGTCAGACCTGCTGGAGCTGGGGATCAGTGCACTTTGGATCATGGCTTTCAACATCATCAAGGTCTTCATACTCCTAGGTACCCTTCTGAACACCAGCACCGCTGATTTCCCACAACCCCTTACAGCCAGACTCCCTTCAGGCCCGGATATGATGTCGCTTCCTGCTTTACAGAGAAAATAGCTGTTTGACCAATTGTCTGGGTACTGTGGTCAAGCCTACTCAGCACATGAGAATAACCATGGAACGCTCAGCCATAAACATGATGGGGAGTCATGCATACTACGTGCCCACTCTGTCCTGAATTCATCATCTACGGCATCTTATTTAATCCTTTGAACAGTCCCAAAGCTAGATCCTATTGCCCCCATTTTACAGAGGGACATTAATTTACACAGTTAAGTGGCTATGCTCGAAAGGCTATGCTTGTACTCAGTGATTTGGAATCTGCCTCTCAGCTGCCTCCCAACTGCTCTCCTCATTCAGCTTTTTATCCTTTGACCATAAACATATCTGGATCTCTCTCAATCAACAAAATGAAGCTTTCCACAATCGCCTTCCTTCTTTTCCTAGGTAAATGTCTTTGAATGGCCCCCCTATCTTGGTGGCCGCTGTCTCACTTTCCTTTAACCCACAGCACCTTGGTGTCAGCCTCCAATAGAGGTGGGGACAATGCTGATCAAGGCCACCAATGATGTCCATGTTATCAAAGCCACTGGATATGGCCCTTTATCTATGCATTTATTGTAACAATTGTGTTTATTGTAGCAATCATTCATTACTTAGGAAATTAGAATAGCACTCTTAGTCACAATAGGATTGGCATAGGACATGTGGCATCCATTCTGCCATAAAACACATCAGAGTGGACGATAAGCTGAAAACTGAGTATGCAGTAAGGCCTGGCTGTACTCATGCGTAGGGGGCATCCATTTTGTAGACAGAAAGAAAAGAGAGGCCTGCAGCAGAATGTGGCTGGCTGGGCACTGCCAGGCAGGAGCTGGAGGAGATGCAGGACTTGGGCTGCTAGGTGCAGCTACACTCACCAGCTTCCAGGAGGCAGGAGCGGGGCCAGCGGGAGGCTGACCTGGGGTTGGTGGGTCTTCCACTCCTGACAAGAGAGCACGGAAAAGTCCCTCTTTGCTAAAGGCAGAGCGAATGTGGCGTGACTAGGCGAGCAGTGGCCAGGACACAGCAGAATGAGGAGCAGCTCCACCCACATGGCCCAGAAGCTGCAGCTGTACCACCGACCTTCAGCTCAGCTAGGAAGAAGTAAGGCTGCCGACAGGACCTGCCGAGCCCTGGACGAGGGAAGCAGGAAACGGGGGAAAAGAGAAGAGAGAAAAGGCTCACATTTTAAATGAATTTGCAGCCTTAGTTCCAAAGACATGGAAACATCCTCGCTAAGTGATAACAGCCCATAAATTAATTGCGGATAGGTTTTTCTTTTTTTCACTTTGGATGAAATTAAAATAATAAAAAAATCTGAGAAAGAATTTAAAATAACGCATTTGGGCATTTCAATAAGAAAGTGACACGATTATATGAAATAATTTTAATTATGAAAAGATAGGCAGAGATGAACTTTAAAAAAGATGAATATGAAAAAACCAATTAGTAATGTAATATAAATATATTAAAATGCAGGATCAGAAAGGAAGGAAGTTCGGCAGAATTACCCAAGATCCCACAGTCACTGAGTGCAGGAGGTAGGACTTGGGGTGCAAGCCAATTCGCCTCCTGCTGCTGCTAATGCCTCACTGTAGAGAAACACAGTCATGGTGATCGTGACAGTTAGCTGTTGTGTCAGCTTGAGTAAGAGACTCCCAACTGACTGGCTTAGCGTAGTTTGGGGACAGCAGTTCTGTGTGGCACGGAGGGGGCCTGTAGGCACGAGCAGCAGGTGTGGAACCCTCTCTGGTTGGGGCTTTGGTCCCAGCACTCAGCTTCCCACCAAGGGCAGTGAACGTGTGGGAAGCCCTGAGCAGAGACCCGTGGCCCTCAGTGAGAAGCAGTAGCCACCAGAACAGTAATCAAGGGAGGGGCTGGAGAGCCTCGATGCAGTGCTGGTCTCCTCCTTAATCAATCAGTTTATGCTTCGAGCCAGATGCTTGTGGTTGACTTTGGAGGCACCATGGGCCCTGATCCCTCTCCGGATCCTGAAACTTGATACTCCCCGTTTTCTACAGAGATTCCTGAGTGCAGAGATTCGGCCTCCCAACACCATGGGCCCACTTCCCTTTGCCCTAAAGGGCCATCTCCTTGGCTTCCAGTAGCCACAGTGTGTTCACGCTTCCACACCAGTGACACACACTCAGAACTGCCAGGGCTCGAGGCCTGCCAGAGCCACCGCCCAGCCAGCAGGGCCCGTGAGAGGCAGCCATGGGCCTGGACGGGGTCCACCCTAGGCGGGAAGGTGAGGGCAGCTTTTTGTCTTGTTCTTCCAGCCTCGGCCACCATCCAGTGCTGCCAGCTCATGGGAGACCCTGACATTTCAGGTCCGGGAAGGTGGCCTGCTGGCACTCTGAGGCAGAGGGCCCTGGGAAGAGGTGGATGATCAGCATGCAGGAGAGACCACAGCAGGGCTTCCCAGGACTCTGACCAGCTGAGACCCGGCACAGCCCCAAGGGCCTGGCCACCAAGCCCCTTGTTTGTTCATCCACAGATGCTCATTTCACATGGGAGGGAAGAGGACAAGGTCATTGAATCAGGGCCACCTGACTAGCAGTTTTGCTGATGGTGCCAGCATCCATGGATTGCAAAGTTAATTCTGTGGAGGGGCTCAAGCGTGGAACAGTGAAAGGTCAGGGACTGTACTGTTTGCTGCAAAGCACCCTGCCCTTGATCTTGAGTTTTGCTCCATATATTTTTGTGTCCTTGAGCCTGTCCCAGTTGACAACATCTCTTGGCTGTTATTTCCAAAACAAGGGTTGGCTTGGCTCTGTACCCAGTGGTCTCTGGGTTCTAGGTCAGGTCACGGCTGGCTGTGTACCCCACCCTGCAGGGGGATGGAGGCTGCTCAAACGTGATTCCCAAATGAGAATGTTCCTGGGAATTATTCCAGGCTCTTGTTAATAAATACAAATTCTGGTTCTTAAATTTGGGTGGATCCGAGGGTGCATTTTTAGGGAGCCCCCAAGTGATGCTGCTGGTCTACAACTATACATTGAGAAGGGAAATGCTAGACGCCCAGAAGCTATTGCTAAGGGCTCAGGACTTGAAATTCCCAGGAACAGATGTCCAAATAGCACCTTCGTTATGATGACCAGCTGCCTCCCGTGCTCACACTACAGCTACTTGCCCCCTCCCCAGCAGCAAGCTCTGCCCCTCTGCAAGCTGGGAGCTATGGTATGGGTGTGGTTTCTCCTTCCAAGATTCCTGTGCTGTAGGCTGATCCCTGTGGAAGACCAAGATGGGAGGACCTTTAAGAAGAGGAGCTGAGCAGGAGGTAATTGGTCACAGGCACCATCCAAGGGAAGGATCAATGTCCTTCTCAAGGGAGGTCTCAAGAGGCTGAACTGGTTATACAAAGAGCCAGTTGTTACAGAGGGAGGCCACCGCTGTGTCTAGCCTCTTCTGCTCGAGCCACTTGTTGCTTCTGAATGTGTTGCTACCATGTCATGTCCTGGCCGTGTGGTCCTTGCTCTATGTGGTCATTGAGCTTGGACCTTTGAATATCCAAGATGAGGGGCTAAAATCATCCTCTTTTACCTATAAAGCAGCCAGTATCAGGTATGTTGCTATAGCAACACAAAATGGTCTAAGACACTTAGGTGCCTGATATCTTGAAAGGTACATAAGATCATTGCTTGGACGGGGCTTTAGGGATCATTTCCTCCATATCCGCCCTGTCTCATCTCAGTGTTCGATTCCCCTCCGCATCCTCACAGCTCCCAGGACTGACCAGCCTCTGCTTCACACTGCAGTGTCAGGCAGCAATCTCTGTCAGGGGCTGAATGTCTGAGTGTGCCCCCAATTCATAGGTTGGGCAAATCCCCAGTGCAATGGTATTTGGAGGTGGAGCCATTGGGTTTAGATGAGGCCATGGAGGTGGGGCTGCATGATGGGAAGAGCACCCTTGTAAGAAGAGGAAGAGGTCATCTTTCTCTTGTTAACATCCAAGGACTCAGTGAGAAGGTGGCAATTTGCAAGTCAGAAGCGGAATCAGCCAGCACCCTGATCTTGGACTTTCTGCTCACCAGAAACTGAAAAACAAATTGTTGCTTAGGCCACTATTTTACTTTCCTTGTTGCTGAGGCCCAATACCTGAGACTGAAAGGAGAAGAGGTTTATTTTGGCTCACATTTTTAGCCCATAGTTGCCTGGCTTCAAGGCAGGAAGGCATGGGGGAAAGATCTGACAGAAGGAAGCTGCTTACCTCATGGCGGACAGGAAGCAGAGAGGGAGGGAAGGAGCCAGGAGGGTGATACATTTTTCCGGCTATGCCTCCAGTGGCCAGGCCCCACCTTCTAACAGCAAGTCAGCTATCTTGCTGTCGTAATCTAATCTCCTTTCCTAAGGCCCACCTATGAACACATGAGGCCTTTTGGGACATCTAGATTATGACAACCACCCAGCCTATGGAATCCTGTTATAGCAGCTGGAGCTGAAATACCCTTTGTACCTGGCCCATTTGTGGGCTACAGGGAACAGAGATCCCCCGTACCTTTGAAACAGCACCAGGGTCCCATACACTGAGGCTCAGCCAGAGACAGTGATCTCTGCCCCTTCCATACCACTGCTGTTACCTGGAACATATAATCATGACATTAGTCATAGGGAGATTGCGGTTCTGTAACCAGGTAGCTGTCATCCTGCTATCCTCAAGGGCAGGAAAGAAAAACTGAGGGCTGAGAGGTAACACACATTGGCTTAACCATAACACTGGGATTCCTGAGCCCTCTTCTAGCAGACTCCTCCCTCATGGCCTTGGACACAACCTTCTCCACTGCAACACTTCCAATTTCCCCAGCCCCTGTCCCTTGTATTTTGCAGCCAAGACTGCGAATCCTTGGGATTTGGGAATTTTAGGGTAAAACTCTGTACTCCGTCTACAGTGAGCACTGCCATCTGGTCTGCTCTGCTCGTGGGTCCTCCAGGGACAGGGAGCAGGCTCTTTCCTTGGCCTGGAAACCACGCTCATTCAGATAAGAGGAAAAACAGACCTGGGTGCAAATCTTAGCTGTGCCGTTTAAGTAGATGTTTGACCTGAGATAATCCTCTCCGTCACTCTAAGCCTTGATTTCCTAACCAGCAAAGTATAGTCAGTTCACACTGGATAATAAACCACACCCAAAGCTCAGTGGCTGAGAGACAGGCATTTCTCCTTTCTCTTGGTGCAGTGCGCTGGCTGGACCACGCTGGTCTGGAATCACTTGGCTCAGTTAGCGTGGCCCTCCCTCCAATGTTTGCCGCTTGCTTGTCACCAGCTGAAGTAACAGGGACGGTTTGGCCGGTGTCGCCTACATCATCCAGCAAGGGAGCCCAGGCTCGGTCACTGGATTCTGAAGAGTGACCAAGGACTGAGCCTCAGGACATGTTTCAGGTCTGTTTGCTAAAGTCACTTCTGCTGGCCAGAGCACGTCAAGGCCAATGCAAAGCCAGTGTCAGAGAAGACTACTAAAGGACATGTGTCAGCTTCGTAGGCTATAACTTAAAATAAAATGAAATAAAATAAAATAAAGCTCCTTTTACATTCTTGGCAACTAGGACCTACTTGGTCTTTCCTTAGGAATCATGTGCCTGTTGGGAACAACAATAGTAATGTTGAGAAAGTTGTCAGAATAAAAATGGAACTGCTTATGTTAAGTCCTGACAAAAATCAATCAGTCCAGGAATTGTGAAGGAGGGATCTCATCCACACATGATGTCAGGTAACAAGAACAAGAGATGCTGCCAGGGCCACAACAGAAGTCGCTGTGGCCTTACACAGAAAATACTAGTGTGAGGACATCTGCCCATCAACTCCCACCAGCCTGACCTTGGACTGATGCCACCCGTGTTACTGATCCTAGTAACCAAGGGTAATTGTTTCAAAACAGTGAGTGCAACTCCCCTCATTTCACTTTAAAAAAGAAACTCTTGTCTCCCGTTGTCTCCCTGAATAAGCCCAGGATGCACTATGATACCCAGGATCTGCTTTGCAGCACTCACTGCCCATTGAGCCCATTGTCTCTGGGCTGATATTTAGGTTAAAAATGGCCACAATGTGTAGTGAGCTCCTGGAGGTAGATCATTGGTGATAGTTCCTGTGCCTTTCAGGCCGTAATTTGTTCTGCATGTGTTTCCCTGCGAGTCATGCCATTAATTCATTTTGCTCCCCAGAGATTAATTCATTTATCATCAGGGAGGTTCTGGGTATCTACAACTTGCCAGACATTACATAAGGTGCAGCAAAGGTGCTAAAATGAGAA